ACGGGAAGCCATTGTGTATTCCTACACGTTAGGCTTATATTGAGGTCTCATCAAATTTCAATTACAGAAAACCAAATTCTTAGTTTCAAACAAAATTTGTTCTACATATGCTTTTTATATTATTAACCAGCAATTTTATAATAGTGTATTTGTTGAGAATAATCTCTACAACAATGTTGAGAATAATCTCTACAACAATTTCACTTAAGTTTACAAGTATACGTATTGGGACTGTAATATGCATTCATACCATCACACATCACAGCCCAAGGTTCCTGGTAGTAGTCTGGTTCGTTCTTGATTCCCAATTCAGAATTCTAGGTTCATATCTTGGCCAACAACAGTGGCTATCTTCGAAAGAACTAGATTATTTTCCGAGCCGGATCAACTGGGCTGTGGTGGATGTGAGCCTGCAGGCTGCTCCAAGCAACAGCCTGTTGGACCAAGCTCTCACGAGTAGGCCTGGCTGGGCTTGGGGCGTAGAACTCCCAGGACCCCATCTAGCAGGTATCGCCCTGAGGGGACAGCACTTGGGATTCATAGTCCTAGGGTTCCGGGTTTGATCCCCGGTGGAGACTGAAACAAATGGGCAGAGTTTCTTTCGCCATGATGGCCCCCCTATTCACCTAGCAGCAAATAGGTACCTGGAAGTTAAACAGCTACTACGGGTTGCTTCCTGGGGATGTGTAACAAAAAGGCTTGGTAAAGGACCGGGCCGCGGGGGACGCAAAGCCCTGAAATATCTCAAGATAAGAACCGAAATGGTTATATGCATTTCCTATCGCCTAATGCCCACAGTTACAGCCCTGCTCCTGTGCTTGGTAAGTCCACTACGGGCTCACCATAGCCCGTGTTACTTGGGACGTTTGTTCCAAGTAGCTGAATCAAAAAAAAATCCTAATGCCTGTCCATCTAGTGGTAAATAGGTATTCAGGTCAGGTTGTTGTTGGGATTGCATCCTGGGTCTGGGGTCAGTAATTGGACCCTGGGGGAGACCTACCTTGAGGTGTTTCCCGGGTTTAGCATCCCCGTGGCCCAGTCGTCGACCCGGCCTCCATATAGACCTAGTTATAGGCCTAAATTTGTACTGTGTATAAACTGACTACCTGTCCCCCAGCACAGTGAATTATTACTTGTCTAGGTAACCACCCAGGTGGTTTGAAGGGTGATTGTCTTAAATCAGTGGATTTACCGAGAATGGTATGAGTAATGTTATTTTTATTACATTAGAACATGTCACTTACGTGTGCACATTTTCCTTGCTTAATGTTTTTGCTGTTGGTTACACTATACAAATATTATAGGTAACTATCTTCATTTATTATGCACTATAACCAACTACTAAACAGTTCATTTAGGAGTTGGTAATCTCGTAATCCACACACCATGGTTATATGCATTTCCTATCATATAACCAGATAGCTGGGAGCCATCTGCCAGTCAGTTGCTGATGCCAACAGACACGGCAGAATTCATCCTGATATACATATGGTCATCACTGGTTCTTGTCGCACACTGCTATTATCAGAATCCTGGGCACAAAGTCTTGAATATTAATAATTTTCCACAAGTTTATTTTCTAAAGACACATGTGAAACTAATTGTGTGCTGTAATGTACAACACTCCCCAATAGGAAGAAAACCCGCTGGGTTGTTCATCCTGTCACTTGTACCCAGACACAGCTGGGACTTGCTTATAACTGTCTCAAGTGAACAGCTCCTCAAACAAGAAGATTAACATTTATCAACCCTTAAAAGCTTACGTTATCTTGCGGGTGCAAAATGGGGAAATCTTTTAAGAACAGTATCAATATTTGACATGGTGTTTTCCTAACTCAAACAATGTGGGGTTTATTATTCTACAGTTATTCCTAATGTCTCTCAGGTGTTCACATTCACGTAGATAGTCGTCAAGGCGGTATCCATCACTCACCACAGATTCTGCAACTTCGCTGATCAACTGTTGTTTCCATTCCAAATCTCCATGGATATTTGTATCCAAGACGGATTCTCGCTATTACTGATTCTCTCCCTCGTCCTTTCTGGTTTTTCTTGATGTCCACGGTTTCAGCAATATTTCCCACTCGTTGGGAGAATGTTGAACAACTGTAGACCTCTGATGTTTATACAGTGTTCTGATTGTGCCTATGGCACTCCTCTTCACTGGTTCTATTTTGCATTTTCTTGTATATAGTTTACTCTGGTATGTTATTTTACTGTGTAGATTTGGGACCTGGCCCTCCAGTATTTTCCATGTGTATATTATTTGATATATCTCATCTTAATAATGAGTACATTTGGAGCTTTGAGACGGTCCCAATAATTTAGGTGCTTTATTGTATCCATGCATGCCGTATATGTTCTGTACTTCCTCTATTTCAGCAGTCCCTGCTCTGAAGGGGGAAAGTGAGTACTGAGCAGTACTCAAGATGGGATAGCACAGCACAGGTGATTTGAATAGTACAACCATTGTGATGGGATCCCTGATTTGAAAGTTCTCGTACTCCATCTAATAATTTTTCTGGCTGGCACAATATTTGCTTGGTTATGCTTCTTAAATGTTAGGTCATCAGATATCATTCCCAAATCCTTTACATGCTGTTTTTCATACCAGTATTGGGTTCGCTGCACAGACCTTTAAATTATAGACTGTGTCATTAACAAACGTGGTAATCAAAGCACTAGAAAGTCATATGGGTTAAACACCTGGAGAGTAATGACATAATAGACTGGTTTTTGAACAAGAAAATTGTGTAACAGATCTACTTATACTTAGCCTTTATGATAGCCACAGAGATGCTACAGAAAGAGGTGTTGGGTTGACTGTATTTTGACCTAAAAAAAAAAACCATTAATGGTCCCACTCAAGTGGCTGTTCTGGAGACAAATATCCTGGAGGGGTGACGGGGAGACTTCTAACAGATAATAAAATGTTCAGAGACAAACAGATAAGGACAGTAATCGGATACAATGTACCTGACTGCAGGAGTGTTATTGGCAGAGTACCGCAGGGTTCAGTTCTTGCACCGGTGATGTTCGTCTACATAAATGATCTACCAGAATGAATACAGAATTATATGAACGTTTGTGGATGATGTAATGCCCTCCAAATTGATCTAAATAAAAACACTTGCTTGGAGAGTCAAGTAGCAAATGCAATTCAATGTGAATTAATGCCATGTTTTGGAATGTGGAATTTGAGAAAAATAGACCCCTCAAAATTTACAAATTGTGGAAATGAATTACAAAACTCTATTGCAGTATCACTTATAGAACTGAAAGTGTTAAACATGCCAAAACTAGGAGATAGGTGATAAGTGGTAGACAGTTGGAAAGTGGTAGACAGTTGGAACAAGCCAAGTGAGAAGATGGTGGTAGAGGCCAAAACCGTCAGTTTGTGTTATACGACAGTACAGTGGCTCCTCAGTTTACAAATTTAATCAGTTACTAGTCGGTTCATAAGCCAAAAATTTAGCAACCCGAAACAAATTTTCCCATAAGAAATAATTTAATTGAATTAATCCACTCCACACTCCCAATAATAACTTAAATCTATTTTAGCTTACCTTTATGACTTGTTGGCGTATGGAAGACTGAGGAGGAGAGGTGTTAAGTGTTTGAAAGGGGAGTCTCCCTTCCATTATAACATCAGGCAGTGATGACTTCTCTGGGGGTACTTTCTCCTATGTTTTGCCTGCATACCACTAGATCCTGGTTGTGGCTTGTTTTTTTCTCAATAAAAACCTTTCTATAGACTTGTTTTTCCCTACATTGTAACACTTGTCTGTAGTGAGGCATCAGTGTCATTTAAAAAGGTTAAGGCAACGCCTTTCTACAGTTTGCTCTGGGCGAGTCGTTTCAACAAGTTTGCATTTCTTCCCATAGTCTACACTTAATTGTTGAAGGGACATTCTGTACTGCTTCCTACTCCCCTGAAAATGTTTCCTCAGCTCTCTCTTGTTGCCCCTTGTGAAGGCCTAAAAGTTCTTTGATGGTTAAGTCTTCGCTGTGTTCCACCAACTCATAACTCGCAATGCTACTTTTTCTAAATTTCTCAAACCATCCCCTGTTCGCCTTAAACTCTCTTGTATCTGCATCACTTGTTCCAGGGGTTTTCTTTAAAAGATTATGCCTCGCATTTTCACAAATGATGGCCTCTGAAATACTATCGCCTGCTAACTCCTTATGTATCCAAATGGCAATAACATTTCAACATCCTCGAGTGTTTGTGTTCTTTGTTTTGTGATTGTTGATATGAGTTTTGCCACTTTTGCACTCATACTGTCCTTTTTCTTGGCAATTACAGTGCATATCATTAACGTTTGTTGAACTGCCAAGCTAGTTCAACAACCTTTGTACCATTTTCATGTTTACGAATATCTTGTTTTTGCTCTATGGTCATCCTCACACGTGTTTTCTTACGACACCACAAGCGTAGCTCTCATCCTGTAACTACACTTGGGTAATTACAAAGAAATCACATTAACATTATGTATCTATGAAGAAATCAGTGGGAGCCATGAGGAGAATTTGAACCTGCACACTAGGTACTTCCAAGCACATGCCTTAAACCACTGAACCATAACTTGGTCACATGCACTGCAACCTTGGATTCGGTTGAATCCTGGGTTCCATTGCTTTTGAGCACTCCTTTCCCAGCCTTGCCTAACACCTGAACTTTCCTTACGCCAATTTGTACCCAGAAATATGCCAGCTGAAGGTTTTCATTCTTGATTATCCACATCCCCTACAAAAATGGTTTACACTTGCTATGTTCTTTTGACATTTATGAAATAAATCACAGATTTTGTAATTGAAAGAACCAAAATACCTGTACTGTACACACTATTATTCATAACTTCGTAATTATATTAATCAGTGCCCTAATGTATTTTTTTTTTTTTTTTTAATTTACGTACTTTTGTTAAAGCTTCAAGTCTGGGTTGCAATAGAAGGGAAAGACTTGGAGTGCTTACTAATGTGCCTCCTCGTCTTCCCAGGTGCTGGTATCTTGGCAACACCACCCCAGACCCACGTGTGAATGTTTCATCGAACATCAAATAATTATTGTGGACCAGCAACTCAAAAGTAGTAAATTTTAAGTACGTAAGGTCGGCTCTCACACTTGACACAATGCCACAGAACGAACATATTGAGCTTCATCGCAAGCGCCATGGCCGACGACTTGATTATGAGGAGCGCAAACGGAAGAGAGAGGCCCGTGAACCTCATGAAAGATCGGCTAAGGCAAAGAAGATATTTGGATTAAAGGCAAAGCTCTATCATAAGCAGCGCCGTTCAGAAAAGATTCAAATGAAGAAAACTATTAAAGCTCATGAAGATAAACTGACAAAACAAAAGGATAAAGATGCCGTTCCAGAGGGAGCCATTCCTTCTTACCTCTTGGATCGTGAGGGACAGTCACGTGCCAAGGTTTTATCCAACATGATAAAGCAGAAGAGGAAAGAAAAGGCTGGCAAATGGGATGTTCCAATACCCAAAGTTAGAGCACAGTCTGAGGCAGAAGTGTTCAGAGTTGTTAAAACTGGTAAAAGGAAAGCAAAGGCTTGGAAAAGGATGGTTACAAAAGTAACATTTGTTGGGGATCAGTTCACCAGAAAACCACCCAAATTTGAAAGATTCATCAGACCAATGGCTTTAAGATTTAAAAAAGCTCATGTCACCCATCCAGAATTAAAAGCTACATTTTGCCTTCCCATTATTGGGGTTAAGAAAAATCCAAGTTCGACAATGTACACATCTCTTGGTGTAATTACAAAAGGCACAGTTATTGAGGTCAATATTAGTGAACTTGGGCTTGTTACCCAAAGTGGAAAGGTTGTGTGGGGTAAATATGCTCAGGTTACAAACAACCCAGAAAATGATGGTTGTATTAATGCTGTTCTTTTAGTTTAATTTTATGTGATGAAGTACATTAGTACTTCATAAATGTGCAGTGTGAACTGATTATCTTTTCATAAATAAAAAGCAAATATAAAAGTCTTTCTCTCGCCTTTTATTATTGATGCACCATAATGTTGAGACGGCTTAGGTCTTGTGAGGTACTTTTTTAATAGCTCATATCCAATAGGATTTCTAATATTAATACTCGAGCACCTGACTTCCTGTAACACATTAAAGGTGCTGTTCAACACTATGGAAGGTGAAACTTAGGCACCGTCAGTTTCAAATTTTACTCAAAGTAAGCCAAGAATATTTACTAGGGTTTGGCAGTGTAACCCAAAATGACAATAAAGCTATAAACTTTTGTACCAAACATTTTTAACACATCTGGAGTATTTGGATCTTAATTAGCTTCTGACTGTAATCAGTAGTCTTCATGTTGGGCAATTACTTTTTAGACATTTCTTAATTTGAAAGGTATTTTATTTGATCATTAATTTTGCATAAATTTACCACTTTAGACATTGGGCTCTAGTTAGAATAGTTATGTCTGGAGAACGTGTAATGTGCGTGTCATCATAATTGTGTTGAACAGGCTTGATTATAGATTAGAAGTTGCTCAAGCTAACTTTTTCTATATATTGTAGTTCAAAGATGGCACTGGTGACCAATAGAAAAGGTTGGTATTTTCTTCATTGGTACAGATGCAATATTAATTTTGATACACTTATAAAAGTGGAACGTTGTTTTGGGCTGCCAGTAATAATTTTTATAATGGAACGTTTAAAATATTGGTACAGATGTTTTAGCATCACTAATAAGTTCAATATTATATATTCGTTACATCAGCCACCTACATTTTTTATGCCTAATGAAGAACCAACCACTAAGCTGTTGTGGCAAAAGTTGCATTGTGCCACTTGTATGCTGCAGCTGGTGATGCCCCCTGGTGGCAATATTCCTCCCCCTCCAATATACTGTGCACGTATCATTGTGGATATAGGGCAAGCAGACTGTTAGCTCATGCTACATGCATGAGCTAACAGCTCTTGGTTGCTTATTCAGTAGAGGCCTTCATACCCAGGTACTCCCCACCTTTAACTCACTATAAATTGGAAATTAAAATTTGCTTTTTTCTAACTCAATGATTACTCTGCCAATGAAGGTAAATATTGGTAGATTTTCTTTCAACTTTGTGATTGTTAGGCATTACATCCTCAGACATTGTGAAATTTTAGGGAAATCATGAAACAAATAAGAACCTCACGATTCCCCACCAAAATAAACATTTAGTTTTTGTGCATCGAGACTGTAAACAGCTGTCTAGCAGCCTGGCCGTGGTATCATAATGTCTGGAGAAGGTTGTGCAAGTGCAGTTCCTGTTAGCGACGTCACTGATGTCTAATGATGTTTCTGCTTTGCCCTGGACGGTATAAGAAGTCGTAATTTCAAACTGCGAATACGTAGAGACCAGAAATTGGGCTTTAAAATATGGCTCAAGCGTCGAATTTGGGATGTTTGGGATATTTTGAAAACTGCAGGGAGAAGTCTCACTAGGCATGCCACTCCTGTGGGAGGCATTTTGATCTATCGAGATTTACTGCACATATCTAAACATTATTGCACGTCGGTTTAGAGCATCTGGAAGAGAAAGGCATCTTAATGTGGGCGGTGTAAAATGGACAATATTTAGTATATGGTAATTGAAATGATCTAAAGGTACTAATAAGCAGAGCTTAAGCCACTGAGTTATAGTTAATATTGGTTGCAGTGCCATTTTATTGACTTCCTATCTGCTCATTCCAGTTGTCATTAATATAACATTATTTTCTAACAAAATGGTTCCTGATTTTTGTATAAACATTGTTGCCCTCTATATGCTGGCCCTTGTATAGTAATAGTTTTGTTTCTGAAAAAGTATTTAGTATTGCATATTACCTGGTAAAGGGTGACACCATGATCCAAACTGTAAGCAAAATTTCATAGATAAGTATCTAAAAAAAAAATTGGCTATATAAATATATTTTATCTTTTACTTTCATTGCAAGACTTCCGCATCATAACATACTACTTAGTTCCCTCAAACTGCTGAAGATTGGTTCCAGTTATCAGAACAAATGTTTATCTCTAATATTACTTTACACACTCGCAGTGTCTGCTTTGGTCTCGGTTTTAATTGAAGAATTAAAAATTAAATGCTGTTGAAACAAGTGGCTTGCCATTACTTGTCTGTCTGCCTCATCAAACATGGGCAGGGAATTGTGCTTTAGTATGGGAATGGGTTAAGTCTTGCCTTGATGCGGCTCCTGCTTTTTAAAGCTAAGTCTTGTTTGTGTCTATTTCAAGAATAATAAATAATTGGTGTCGGAGTTCTTGTGCCACAAGTAATTATAGTAATGTCTTGGAAGAAGTGATGCTGGAGTTTGAGTATACAGCAGTATTAACCCAGTGTAGGTGCTATTAAGTGGTGCAATGTTACCTTGAAACGTCAATATGTGCACTCTGAAATAGTTGGTTTTAGATTAGCTTATGAAAGAAGCAAATTTCTTAAAAATGCATGGCCTTTACTTTTTGGTATACAGTGAGTACTAATTTACCTTTTGTTGGCCCTTTTTAACTTGTGTTTTCTTTACAGACCGTAAAGATGCAGATCTTTGTGAAGACTTTAACTGGGAAGACCATCACTCTTGAGGTCGAACCTTCTGATACTATTGAAAATGTGAAGGCTAAGATTCAGGATAAGGAAGGTATGTAACATTAGTTTTAATACATTTTCTTGATACATTGTTAACATGACAAACTTGGCATATTGAATATTTAGCAGAGATAAACACTGCTTCATTACATTGTCTTGTCCAAGCTGGCATTGACATTGAAGGATTTTTATATTTAGATAAAATTATTTAAAATTTCATGGGATTAATGTTGAATTTATTTTAATATTTCAGGCATTCCTCCTGACCAACAGCGACTGATTTTTGCTGGCAAACAGCTTGAGGATGGTCGCACTCTTTCAGATTATAACATTCAGAAAGGTAAGTTCAGGCACAATAGTAGAACGCATGAACATGCAGTTATACAAGGGAGTAAGCATGCAATGTGTCAAAAGTTGTCAGCTGGGTGGCACAATAAACGTAGTATTTTATTACACTGTCTACATACATTTTTATATAACATTGTTATACACCATTACAAGCCATTGAGCAGTTCTGGCGGGTTTGGTAATATCATACTCAAAGAACATCATATCGTGCTTGTTGGTTGCTGTCGGCAATGGACAAAGTAAAGTACAAAGTACTTCACATATTACTAATTAACCACAACACTGCTGTTATCTTAGTGCTTGTCACTAATTTCTGAATAACTTTAAAGTTCATTTTCTAAACTAACATAAAAAAAAATTTAATGATGCATAAATGCATAGAAAATTGGCCATGTTCTGTGAACATGAAAACTAGCATTGGGTTCACTGATATTTAACTTTTGGCCATGGTCTTTTATCACAATCTTGCATTTATTTATTTCTTACCAAGTGGTTATGTGGCCACGATCTGCATAACAAAACTGCGAGCTGCTGCATGCATTGTTCATGGTCGCATTCTTGGTACTGAGGCCTCCAACACCCAGGAAGAGGGGTACCAACAATTTTTGTCAAAGTTGGCATTTATTTGTGGGAAGCCTGAAGTGGCAGACATGAACTGTACTCGCCTAGTTGTGCTTGAGAGGGTTGAGCTTTCTCTGGTCATGCCTCTCGACCATCAATCAAGTGGTGTACAGATTCCTGAGCCTGCTGGGCTCTTATCATATCTACACTTGAAACTGTGTATGGCATCAGCCTCCACACCGCTTCCTAGTACATTCCATTTGTTAACTACCGACGCTGAAAATATTCTTTCTAATGTCTCTGCGGCTCATCTGGGTGCTAAGTTTCCACCCGTCTCCCCTTGTGCTCCACCCGTGCTGAAGAATTTTTTTCCATCCTGTCAATTCCCCCGAGAAATTTTGTAGGTGGTTACGTCTCCCCTTACTCTTCTCCCAGCACTTATTGAAGATTATTGTGGTGGTGGTGGCTTCACTCCATACTGTGTGGGGTATACGCTGTGTATTTACAAGTGCTAAATCTTGTACAATTCTTTTAAAACATCTGTGTTGCACAGCTAATGGATAACTGGCAAGAACATCTCTGGCTGTTTTGTGGAGCTGTAGGATTAATTGTAGACAATAGATTCTCCATTTGGTATTCTCCAACTGTCTGCAACAGAACTAAGGTAAAAAGCACAAGAATCCTGGAACACAACAAGCTATAACAGCCTGCTGTAGATGCTTATTTTTTTTTAAATTAGAGCCCATTATTAGATCTCTGGGAGTAAATTGAGTTGATGTACATAATAAGTTTGCTGTTTTCTGGTACGTTTGGCAAAGGATAACGATTGTCATTATAAGTAAAGATGACCATGCATACATACCGGAGACCCCTGTCACTTGTCACCCAAAGGATTGAGAGATTAAATTAGGGTGAAGTGAATTTGCCACATTCATATATTTAAAGTACTGTCTCCACATTAAACAATTATATTTTGAAAATGCCAGTACTGTGTGTTCCAGCTGATTTATTTTTTTGTTTATGAACAGAATCGACCCTGCACTTGGTGCTGCGCCTGCGTGGTGGTGCCAAGAAACGCAAGAAGAAGAATTACACCACCCCAAAGAAGATCAAACACAAGCATAAGAAAGTTAAGCTGGCTGTGTTGAAGTACTACAAGGTTGGTGTGCTGCCTTAGTATAACTTCTTTGTGTACTTAGTATAACTTCTTTAAAAGGAGGATTCCTTATGGGGATTACGTCGGTATTGTTGAATAGTGTGTGCTTCCTATTGGCAGGTTTTGGAATAGTTTAAAAATGTTTTGTAGCGAGTATTGCATTGAAGAGTGCCACATAAACGGAAGTGTAGCTATAGGTACATCAACCATTTTAATGCCATGATATGCCATCTGGTTCTTTTGTGAATTTTAAAGGAAACATTACAGCAATTAGCTATGTAGTCTTCACAATTTGTATTATGGGAATTGAATGCACTTGATAAATATATATCAAGATTTACAATATGTACAATCCAGCTTTAAGCTATTACAAGGAGCTAGAGCTTTCCCATGAACAGTTAACAGGGGGCTGGCTTGCCTATCAGCCCTTAAATATGATGGGTTTCATCTACATGTGAAGTAATGAACATAATCAGGATGAAACTAGTGGCTAGAGAGGTAAAGATAGATGTGAAAATGGATGGTGATGTAGGGAGACAGGTCACCTGGGATCAAGCAGGAGAAGGAAGATTCATGTAGACTTTAAAACCATTTGATACTGTATCCAGCAAGATCCTGGTGTATATGTAGAGGCATGCTGGGATAGCTAGGAAAAATTCCTAGATGTAAACTTGTGACAAGGCAGTTGGAATTTTAGATTATGAAAACTTGAGTAGGATAAATAGCCTTTACAGTTTAGTAGATATGAAATGTTGTTAATTTATAATTGATTTAATTAATTTACTAGAATAGTTAATTTTAAAAAATTTTGGCCTGATGCAAAGATACGCATTTTGTTACATCTTGTTAACATTATCAAAGGCAGAGTTTGATTGGTTCCAAAACCTTTGCTGCTGGGTATATAACTCTGAATGAGGCGGTGAAGCATTAAGTTTCTTGTTTTAATTAAACTAGTGTAATCCCAGAAATGCGGGATCTATCTTGAGGTGATTTCGGGGATTAGTCCCTCCTTGGCTAGGCCTCCGTTCTGTTACACACACCCCAGGAAGCAGCCCGTAGCAGCTGTCTTAACTTCCAGGTACCTATTTACTGCTAGGTAACAGGCTAAGGCAAAAGAAACATTTTGCCCATTTGTCTCAGCCTCCACCGGGGATCGAACCCGGAACCTCAGGACTACGAATACGGATTGCCAGAATGTCATCCCGGTTAAATAATAACTGGTAGAATTCATGAAAACATGATAATTTTAGCCTTATTTTGTTGATTACTGTGACTGCTACAGGTTTGATGTAATGTTGTTGCAGGTGGATGACAATGGGAAGATCACCCGGCAGCGTCGCGAGTGTCCCAGCGAGGAATGCGGTGCAGGCGTCTTCATGGCCAACATGTTTGACCGCCAGTATTGTGGTCGATGCCACCTGACGTTTGTTTTCAACAAGCCTGAATAAATATACTTGTGGTACTTTCTGGTTTTTGTAACCTTGTGTATTTAAATACATTTATTAAAATAAGATGGACTGCCTTTCTCAACGTTGTGAATACAAGAGGACCCCTTTCAGGTTATCTTGAAATGATTTCGGGGCTTTAGTGTCCCCGCGGCCCGGTCCTCGACCAGGCCTCCACCCCCAGGAAGCAGCCCGTGACAGCTGACTAACACCCAGGTACCTATTTACTGCTAGGTAACAGGGGCATAGGGTGAAAGAAACTTTGCCCATTTGTTTCTGCCTCGTGCGGGAATCGAACCCGCGCCACAGAATTACGAGTCCTGCGCGCTATCCACCAGGCTACGAGGCCCCTGTACTCAGGTGTGAGTACTTGGTTCCCAAGGTAATGAAAATCTGATGAGTGACACGTATGTATTTCTGAAATTGTCCTCGGTAAGAGTCGGGTGTTCTCTCCAGGAATCTTCCGTGTCTGTGCCTGTGCAATACTTGTTAGTAGTTTGGCCGTAAGGTGTACAAATGTCAACGAGGCTGGAAGATGATTTAAACCACACACCAGAGGAACGGACGACGATGTTTCGGTCCATCCTGGACCATTTAAAGTAGATTGTGATCAATGGGTAGCTGGGAATCACAATTGACATTATAATGGTCCAGTACCATGCAATTAATACAATAGTATTTTATTAATTGTCCTTACCTGTCCTCCACATATTTTTTATATAATAATCTTAGATGCTCTGAATTAGTTCTGCCGTATTTTGTGGTATATTGGGAACTTGATGAACTTTTAACACGGGAAGGTTAGTCATACATGAAATCTAGGGGAAAAGGATGCATCTCGTTTAATAGCCTGCACTAGCAAACGGTAATATCTTCAAATATTTTTGTTTTTTTTAGCTCAAATACAATCTAGTATAAAAGTTGATTATGGGACACTCAGTGTTCAGACAATGAGTCACAATAACGTGGCTGAAGACATGAAGAATAAACCATACACCAGAAGATGAGTCGACAACAACTGTTCGGTCCATCCTGGACTGTTATTAAGTAGATTGACATTATCACAATCTCGATAAGGTCCAGGACGGGCCGAAACGTAGTCTCGTCTTCAAAGTTCATTGCATTTCCGTTTTCAACGATAGGTCTCAAGTCGACGACGGTGTAGGTGCACTAGCATCTTTACGGCTGAACTTAGTTCAATTTTGTACGATCAACTGCATTCTAATATGTTTATTTGTGATGTGTGTCTATGTATATATTAACGCGTTGTACTGAATGGGGTGAGAATAGCTTGAGCTACCTCATCCCCTTGTGTGTATTTTACCTCAATAAACTTATTTCAATTTCACTGCATTCTCGCTGTCAACTTCCCTGTGTCGTACCTAATTTTTAACTCTCAGTGGTCCGGATTCCTTTAATCCTATCTCGCCTTTGGCAATCTAAATTCAACATTGGCTGTATCTCAGCAGACTTAAGACAATCGAATTTGTTGGGTTTCCAGAAACGATACGAAGATACAAGATGGGGCATAGTCATCAAGTCGTCATATCTTTTCTTGGTTCGTAGGTGACGTCCTGGGTACATTTCAAAGTATAGAGGATCACTGAGATCTAGGCGGAGTGTCGATGTCGTAGTGGGTATAGAGGGTCTCAGCTGGAATAATGGTGTTGCAAGGTAAGGTACTTGATCCTTTCGTTGAGTGACACTGCAGGTTCGTTGGGGTTCTGGCTGTGAAGTTCTTCGAAGGTATGAACATAACGTGTACTTAGCCTCAGATGCGTAGGCGACTTGTAGCTACGGAGAGAGTAGAGGTGCAGAAGATTGAGTAGTAGTTGACATCAACCGAGTCATCAGATGACTGACTGGAGGGTTTTAGACTTTATATGGCAGGTCTAAAGCAGTAGTTGAATCAGTACTGATGTCAGACGCGGCTTGAGTAGATGGTGCAGAAGTATCTTGTTGCTCTGGGACTCTGGGTCAGGTAAAGATGTAGAGACTTCAGTAAGGTGGTCCATTTTCGGTGTAGAGTTTGTTGATAATTTAGACGAATTCCTTGTAGTTCGTGCCTGCCATCATTTCGGCTAGAGGCGTTATTACGAAGACTACTAGATTCAGATTCAGATGTTTATTCAGGTAAGGTATATACATACAAGTGATGTTACATTAATGGATTGATATATAGATAGAGCTAGTACATACAATGCCTAAAGCCACTATTACGCAATGCGTTTCGGGCAAGAAAAACATTAATATCTAGAACTTAATACTAATTGAGCATAAAGAATAAAAGGTGTTGAGAACAAATACAAATAAAGATAAAAAAAAGGGGGAACATGACTGAAAAAGCAGCACAAATACAATAGGTTGACAGTGTTGATTAAAAAAAAAAAAAAAAAAAAAAAAAAAAATAACAGACATGGGTTGACAATAGAGTGAGGTAGATTACAGGGAATTTATTAGGTAGTGTTTAGTTTTTATCTTAAACTGGTTGAGAGAGGTACAGTCTTTAACATGGTTGGGAAGGTCATTCCATATTCTGGGCCCCTTGATTTGCAGAGCATTTCTAGTTTGATTAAGGCGTACTCTAGGAATATCAAAACTGTATTTATTTCTGGTGTGGTGCTCATGGGTTCACTATTAACGATGTTGGAGCAGGCGAGTAGTGTGGTGAAGGCTGGCTTGATTGGCCAGAGGGAGGTGGTAGCGGTAGCAGCCTAGTCGATGAATGGTTGCCGGACTCTGAGCTAGACCCCCATTGGCCTGCAGGCTGCATGGTAGCTCATCCACAACCCGGAAGCTCTGGGAAGTTGGCGGCTTGCACGTTGAAAGTCGATGGTGCACGGCGAGTGGAGGCCTGCCTGGCGTCGGACATTTTTATTTCCTTAATTCTTCGAGGGGGCAGCGGAGATAACAGTATGGTCCGTCCCCTGTACAGTGAAGACAGTCTTTGACCCAGTCCTAGAAGTGTTGGTTCCCGGCTCACTTGCTGCATCGTTGGTCCTGGAAAGTGTACGTCTTGGTGAAGTGATCGTAGCTGTACCTGTCGAGCCGGGCTTGGGGAGTAGAAGAACTCCCAGAACCCCATCAACCAGGTACCATTGACGAAGTCTGTAGTATTGTTCCTTGGTGATCTGGTGAGGTGTGCTGGCGATACCAAATCACCGGAATCCGTTCTTAGTAGCAGAGGTAACTTCCTCAGGCGAGGTATAAGTAACCGTCATGGTGACGAGGTGCGCACCGCTCCTGTGCCAGGTAAGTCCACTATCACATTACAGGGATCACTCCTTGTAATACCTTCAGTCTTACCTTACTGACAGGCTCCAGTATGTTTCTATGAATAATTCCATTTCTCCTACACTACCCATCAACATTGGTGTTCCACACGGCAGCGTACTTGGCCCTCTCCTCTTTCTCATCTACATTAATGACCTTCCAAATGCCTCTCAACACCTCAAATCAGTCGCTGATGACAACTTTTATTTTCTCCAGTCCTGACCCTCTTGCTCTAAATGTCACTGAATACTGAGCTAAATAAAGTCCATCTTTGGCTAACTGCCAACAAACTCACCCTTAACATTGACAAAACTTTCTATATTTTGTTTGGTAATAAATCCTCAAATGAAATTAATCTAAGAATAAGCAATATACAAATCAGTAGTAAAGTTGATGGTAAATTCCTTGGTGTCCTCATCGATAACAAGCTGAATTTCCAGGGACACATTGTAAATATATCAAAAAAAGTTTCTAAAACTGTTGACATTCTTTCTAAGATCAGATATTATGTACCTCGCCCTTCCCAGGTGACACTATTACTCTCAACTATCCTTATCTCAACTATGGTATTTGTGCTTGGGGTTCTACTACCTAAAATCATTTACGTCTAATTACTAAACACAAAGCTTCTATTAGAACAATATCTAACTGTGGCCCCACCTTGAGGTGCTTCCGGGGCTTAGCGTCCCCAGACAGCACTCTGTACCCTTATTCAAATCTCTGAATGTTTGATATTAAGTCACTGCACATCCTCTCAGGTGTACTCTATATATTTAAAACTGAATTGTAATGACAATCCTGACCTTAACAGCTTTCTAGAAGGTTGTAACAGAACTCATGAGCACCACACCAGAAACAAATACCTATTTGATATTCCAAGAGTACGACTTAATCAAACTAGAAATGCTTTACAAATCAGGTACCCAGGATGTGGAATGACCTTCCCAACCATGTGTACCTATCTACCTATAAGAGTGTACCTATCCCAACCAGTTTTAAGATAAAAGCTAAGCACTACCTAATTAACTCCATGCAACCTACCTTACCCCTAAATGTCAACCCATGTCTTACTATTTTTAAACAAGGCTGTTTGTTGACCAACCTGTATATTGGCTATTTTCTTCCATGTTCCCCCCTTTTTTATCTTTTTTTTTTAACACAATTTATACTTAGAGCTCAGTTAATAGTAACTTTGTCTAAGTGTTTTTTCCCCCACCTCACCTTGTCCGAAACGCTATGCGTACGAGTGGCTTTAGGTATTGTATGTACTACCTCTATCTAGAAATCCAACATTGTTTGTAAATCAACTATGCATGTACTTTCCTGAATAACATTGACTTACTTTCCTTGGGATGGTTTCGGATAGTGCAGGGTCTGCAGTCTGGTCATTGGTTTCGTTTTCTGTATCAGTCAGGATTGGATTGCTATGATTGATTGATTGATTGATAAAGATTAAGCCACCCAAGATGTGGCACGGGCATGAATAGCCCGTAAGTGGTACAATTTTTTGTTCAGTAATTCTTTTCAGTGTTCTGAGGTCGCATTTAATCGTCAATCTGTTATCGCCGGGGAGGATACTGCTTGACAGTCATTATGAGGGTGTCCAACTGCTGGACACCTTTGTTGACCAGGAGAGTGGCTGTGTTGATGGCTTCAGGGTGCCCACTGCATGATTCGGGAACTCTTAAAGCTCTTCTAAGGTCATTGGTTGCTTCACATTCCAGAAGATAGTGAAGTAATGGCT